TCGGCTATGCTTTTTTAAGACTTGGTTGGAGGTAAAATCTGAGATTTCTTGGCGTAACACAGAAGCATCTGCTGTGCTTCTACATCAACTACAAGATATGTTATTTACTGGTGTAAAAAGACCTAATGTTTGATGATAAAATCGTGGGTAACTCTTAAAATCTGGAATGATGTTTGTACATTTATGGGATGTTCTAGTAAATTTACAAAAGAGTCTCTGATTTGGAATAATCATAATATACAATCTGGGGAAAAACACTTTGTCTTCAAGCCATGGTCTGATCAATGTGTATTTGTTCTGGGTGACATTTTTAATAATCAGGGCCTAAGGTCCTTTCAGTATTTGAAAGAATGTTACAATCTTTCTGGATATCCCTACTTTTTGTATTTAAGGTTGAGAAGTGCAATGCGCGCATATGGAGTACCATGGAACTGTAACTTGGACGCTGATCCACTGATGGACTGTGAATTTTTCTCAGACATGAGGAGCAGTTTCATTTCTTTATAACAAACTGTTGAATCATGGCTCCGGTGCACTTTCCATCACTACAATATGGAAAAAGGAACTGGCCCCCTATAAACCTAACTGGGACTGGATATGGGAAAATGTTCCTATGATGTCCAAGAATACTGCCCATCAACTTTAAACTGATCCACAAGGTCTGTGGAACTCTGTATGTGTTACATAGAATGAAGCGCTTGCCTACTCCCTTTTGTACATTGCGTAACTCTGTGGGGACCTATATGCTAATGTTCTTTGACTGTCCACTCATTAGTAAATTTTGGGATAAAGTTTTTGTAATTGTTACAGAATTATGTGATAGGGTTATTCCTAAACATCCCAATATTTGTTTGCTCACTCAGCACTAACTGCAGCCAAGAAGGTAATCTTTAAAATTTGGTATGAACCCACATTCCCGGCTGACAAAATGTGACTCATAGATCAAAAAAATATTGCACTGTTTGAACACTCAACAGCAAGGATTACTAAAGCTAAACCATCTTAGCCCTGTGACCTAGTTTTCCTCGTGTGTCTAATTAGTCATCATGTTCACCTGTTTAGTTCAATTATCTTGTTAGTTCCCCTCTTATTTAAACCCTGTGTTCTTACCCAGTGTTTGTCCGGTCTCATCAACTCTACCCTGTGTTGGATGACAGACTTTCTAAAATGTCATCTTCGTGTGTTTATTGATAGCGTAGTGTGACAGTATGGTAGAAGGTCTTGGTCTGAGTCTGGCTATCAAATTAGCATATCTGAGAATTCACTACATTGCCGGAAGATGCTGATTTGATAACTTACAAACGTCAATGTTGACAGTGAGTCCTTAAGATTGATTTTAAAAACAAATGGGAATTGTCTGCAGTGTGAACTTGGTGTCAAACAAACATGAGCCACAGCCATGCTTATCTTCACCTCCTATACCTGTTCCAGCAGTGTAATCAGGAAAGCCTTCTTGAAATAGTGCGTTAAGTTCACATCAGTCACATCACCTTTCATCAGATTCTCATGGTAGCTGAGTAAATCCTCACCTTATCCAGCTCTGTCAGTAATGTGGCGTTAAAAGCTTTCTTAAAGTTCTCAAGAAACACCAGGTCTGACTGATAATGGACCTTGTTTGCTAAGATAATTGTTGTCCCTGTTTGACAAAAGTGAAGCATGGTGTCAAGAAGCTCATTGAGGCAGTCATGGTGATAGACCACATCAGCTGCAAAAACATAATCGTAATGATGGGTGGAGTGGGGAAACATCTCTAGTTTGTAATGAGAATTCTTAGGGTAAACAAAATGCACACAGTTAAGTAAACTGGCCCTCTCCAATAAAATATTGATAAATTAAGTATTTAAATGTAATAATTTATGCATCATATGTTATGCAGTGCTTTTCAAGGTAAATAAAATACACACGATAATGCAAAATGTACATCATTTTGTTGGTTTTGTGGTGCAATGTAATCTAAACGTAGCATTCAACCTTTAATTTTTAGCCATTAATTCCATCCCTGTTGGCTTCTATGAGTCTAGGCAGCTGGTATGCCCTAAATTGATTCCACAGAAGGGAAACCCAATATAACACTCATTATATCTCTGCAGGCCACATGAGGTCATTGCTGTTAAACTCTTATCCAACTGGCTCGCACTAAATCCGCTCTGTATCTTCTCCAGTTTCTTGTATGGTTGTCAAAATTCTCTGGAATCAGTGGGCAATTGAACATCTTCACCATGTAGGGCCTGATATTTTGGTGATTTGGCACCAGAGACACCAAGCTACATTTACACCATTTGACAGATGCGTGCATGAAGAGAGCATCTTGTTAAAATGACTGGCTTTCCTGCTTGAGGATGTTTTTGAAAACTCTCTTCTGCAGGAGTAGATGTATGTGGATTGTATGTGGTGTACATGTGTTTGCATCATGTAATAATGACACTGGCAGACTCAAGCACATGCTGCCAGTATCAAATATCTCTGTTACATGGTCCAAATGGGCTGCTGTTCTCAGAAGATCCAGAACATGTTTGTAATCCATTACTGCTACGTGCTGTTAGTCATGAACACATCTGGTTCTTCTTAACTTAGAAACTATGCCAAAAAAAAAACAGGTCTACTTTTATCTAGAAGTGCCCAATAATAAAGACCTGTAAACATTGTAAGCAATGTTGCAGAATCAGTTGTTTAGAGAAGGAAACCGGACACAGTATTTTCATCTGAATCTTCCATTTCCCAGCAATGAATATGCCCGTGTTCAAATTGTAAAAGTAAATTTTCTGTATCAAAAAGTCATCAAAACTCAAGAGAGTGAATGTTATGAAAAACGTGATCACATCAAAATAGTAGTACTGCTCACAACTCTCTAGAACAGAGATATTCAATGCATGATTGATCATATTTACATTTACATGGATTACAGAAATGCAAAGTTTCAGAACTAAACATGAATTTTGACTTCTGAATGCTGCACGAAGTTGTAAAGCTAGAGTTCCGACCTTGATTTTCTGCTGGTGAACTGCTGTGATGGTGGTTTGCTTGTGAATTTGGAGTTGATTGTGGGGGATCTGCTACACTTTTGGACCAAAGGTCAGGTTCACCATCCAGAGCATCTCCATGGATCACAATGGTGATGCTTCTTTTATCAGAGATGAGTAGATGAGTTTGTTTCTTCCAAGCTCATCAAGACGTTTTTAACTTCAAACCGCTGCTTCGGGCTAAAATAAATGTCCATAATGCTTAATAACTCTTCCTCCAGTGAAAATCTGGTCTGAATCAGGAGAGAAATCTACACAGATCAAGCACAGTTTACAAGCCAAAACAGTCCAGAACGGTTCTAAACAAATGTGTGGGTGGATTTTGATGTGAGAGACATGTGAGATGGACTTTTTCACTGTAGGAAGTGTTATTATGGAAGCAATGGTTTAAAGATAAAAATATCTTGATTAAATTGATGATGGATTTGTTTCTTACAAACGCACAGCTTTTGGCTTCACAAGACATTAATTGATGGACTGGAGTCATTACTTATTTACTACTACTTATCAATTTAATATTACTTATTACTTACGTATCCTACTAGTTTCACTTCTGTTTCAGTTTTTATAACCATTTCTTACTATGTGTAAGTAAGTTGTTGTTTTTTAGCATGTAAGTTTGGCAGTATTATTTTTTAGGATTACTGATAAACTGGATTACTGATAAACTACTGTCGTTTGATTTGTATTATTTGTATTTGTTATTTATTTTAATTTTAGTTAAATTATATCTGAATTTTCTTATGTCTGTATAGGTCTTTTATTAAGTTTTAGTTGTATTTAATTTGAGTTATTTTAATACTTCAACAAACTAAATGGAAATGAAATAATATATATATTGAATTTATAAATGTGTATGTATATATATAAATATATATACGTATGTGTGTGTGGTTGTACATAAACATATGTAGTTGTTTTTTTTGTGTTTGGCTTAGTGTTATTTTAGAATCATTATTATACTCTTATACCTTTTGTTCTTTCATATTTTGAATTGTTTTTAGCTTTATTTTTTGTTTTTCATTTAAATATTAAGTTTTGAAATTTTGTTGCATGCATTTGTCATTTTTATTTAATTTCATTATTTTTTTAAAATGTGTATAAGTAGTATTTATAAAGTTGTAGCTTTTAGTTTTGGATCTGTTTTTAGTTGTTTTAATACTACAATTGATTGCTTCTGTTGTCCTCATTTGTAAGTCGCTTTGGATAAAAGCGTCTGCTAAATGACTAAATAAATCAATAAATAAAAAAATTACTTGTGGATTATTCTAATGTTTTTATGTTTGGACTCTCATTCTGACGGCACCCATTCACTGCAGAGGATCCATTGACAAGCTAGTGATGTAATTTCTCCAAATCTGATGAAGAAAACCTCATCTACATCTTGGATGGCCTGAGGGTGAGGATTTTCAGCTAATTTTCATTTTTGGGTGAATTTTTAAAAAATCCTTTAATAACATTAACCAGCATTATTAAATGACTATGAAATATTGGTGTGATATTAGTTAACATTGTCCAACAGCCATGTGCTCTATATCTTTTTCATTTCATTGCAAGGTAATTACATTTTAAATGATTACGAAGACAAACATTTGATTTCCTATTTATTTATTTCGAATTTTAGAATAAAGTCACTGATGAATCATTCACAATAAGAGCAGGAACATGAAGACAGTAAATAGAGTCTGTTTTAAATTATTGTTGATGTAAATTATGTGAGTAAAATATCAGATACAGTCTACGCCAATGGCCACAGGATTATTTTAAACTATATGTAATATAATAATTAATATACTAATATGCAATTTAATTTATATTTACTTTAAAAGTATTGCATTTTTTTATAATTATTCACATTAATTATATACAAATAATTCATATATTATTTATATATAATTAATAATTAATATTAATTGTAATTATTTAACTTAAAAAAAAAAAAAGATCAAGATGTAAACTGAAATCATATTTATTTTCCCCCTCTGTAACTATTGTAGCAGTTCTTAAAACTTCTGGAATCACAAAATGAATTGCGGTTAATGAATGTAGCTATATTACCCCTCCAAATTTCTGTTAATAATATATGATAAAATAATAGTTCTGTTAATATATTAGGGGCCCTTCAAAATAATTGAAAGCCGCTGGTCTGCGCAGTGTCTCCGCGCCGTTTGCACGCGCGGTACAGCTTTATTCGCAGGCTGGGCAAGTTATAAAGTTCCTCCAGACTAAAGTGTTTCTCAAATGTGTCCACGAAGCTGTTCTCCGGGTCCAGACGGAACCGCATGGCCCACAGGATGACGGTGTCGTCTGAGCTCAAGTGCATGAAGGTCTCCATGAGCTCGTGGAGGTAGGGATGCCCGTACACCACATCTGCGGCGATGATGTAATCGTAGTGACAGGTTGTGCGTGGGAATCTTTCCTCCAGCTGTTTCCCCCAGCTGAGCTCGGTTACACACGGCTCGTGCCTGCAGCGCCTTCTGGTGTTGCGGTTCACATTGTGTCTCAGGTTACTCAGGACATCCGGCAGGTCTGTTGACGTCACCTTTGCACCTGCAGGTGGAGAACAACACCGTGGTATGGTTTTACTACTATCCCCTATAAAACTAAAGAATATTATGATATTAATTTAATTTGAGCTAAATTTAAATAACTAAACATTTTTTATTACAAATATTTTTAAACGAATTGGCTGGTCTGTCTCACCCAGCAGGCTGGTTACTATGGTAACAAGACCCGTTCCGGCACCTAGCTCAATGATGTTCTTGTCCATCAGGTTATATTCCTCACGGTGAGTGTCGAAGAAATGACACAACACCATGGCCTACAAACAGACACCGGTTAGTTCTGCTTTTCTTTCTCAGTTTAAATGATCTGAGTGAGTGATACGTACTGAGGGCCACAGAACGGCCCCGTAACAGTCCGTCGACTCTGTGATTTTGATCTCCATGTCTGCAAACTCATATCCTTCCCATGCTTCAGTTTTGATCAGCGACGGACGAAAGTGTCGCTTCATAATCGCTGCTGCCAGCTCAGCATCTGCAGTGACATCTGCAAACACAGACAGATCTCTCACATTTACAGCAATGCGTTCAGAGGACACTTTTATCTCAACCTCTTGGATTTAAAAAGACTCTCCACTGTCCAACACAATACGCAAAAAGGCCCACATACAGGTATATACTGCAAAAAAGGAATTTTCAAAGTTGTAAATGAAACCGATTATTTGAGTATGTTTTACAAGAAAATACTGTTTCAGTCTTTCTGCTTCAAAATTCCACATTTAAATCAGTGTTACTTGATCTATTTGCAATTATTTGTAAACATTTACCAGCAATTCTGAGTGAAAATTGTTTAAAAGTAAATCCTACACCATTTTTTTCAATGTAGAATACAATTTCCTTTCTTCTGTATGTTGACTAAAGTTATGACAAAGCTGCTTGTTTTTAAATGTTCAAACTGAGTGTCAGTATATTAATTAACCATACGTTTCCATGATTCCATTCCATGATTCTATAAATTTCAAGAACTGTATGTTAAATAAAACCAATAGTTGAATGAATGAATGAATGAATGATGCATTTATATAGCGCTTTACTGTGTATTGTTGTACACCCAAAGCGCTTTACAATCATGTGGGGGGGTCTCTCCTCAACCACCACCAGTGTGCAGCATCCACTTGGATGATAGTTATTAAGGAGGGAAAAAAACATCTTGATTTTGTTGTTTAATACTTTGTTAGATTAATTTCATATGTAATTATTAATATTATTATTATTAATAGCTCAATTATTATTGTCTTTATTATTGTAAGAAATAATAAAATAACACAAATCAGGGGTTTAAACCTTTTTAGACATTTCACAGTTGGTTTGGGTTTTGGTGGTTCCTTTTGTCCATGAGTCTGCCCCCAGAGGCCCCTCCTCTCCATGAGTCTGCCCCCAGAGGCCCCTCCTGTCCACGAGTTTTCCCCAGAGGTGGCGGCTTCCGCAGCAGAACCTCCAGAGGTGGCGGCTTCCGCAGCAGAACCTCCAGAGGTGGCGGCGTCCACTTCTGAACTCTCTGTCTGCCCCGTTATGGCCAAGGAGGCTGTCCTTGAACTCTCTTCTTGTCCTGTTACGGCCACAGAGGCCGTTGTTAACCTGTCTGTGCTCTCTGTTCCAGTCCTGCCTGATCTGCCGTGGTGGTTCCATGTGCCATAGTCTCCACTGAAGTGATCGTCGGCTCCGCCCTGGCTTCCTGCTCCGCCGGCTCTGACCTGGTGGTCTTCTGCTCCGCTGTGGCTTCCAGCTCTGCTCCATGGCTCAGGTCCTCCATTGTTCCACAATCTGCCATTGCTCCATGGTCCAGGCCTGCCATTTCCCCATGGTCCAGGTCCACCCCTGCACCACAGCCCTCTGTTCCAAGGCCCGCCACTGCACCACGGCCCAGACCCACCTCTGTTTCACGATCCTGATCTTGTTCCCCTTCATGGACATGGCCCTCCACCCCACCCCCTGGACCACCTCCACTCCACTACCCTCCTGAACTTTTTGGGGTTTTGAGGTTTTGGGGTGGGGGGGGGGTATGTCACAGTTGGTTTTGGGTTTTGCTGGTTCTTGTCATGTGTTTCCTTTGACCCTGTCATGTGATTTTGCCATGTGGTCTTTTTGTTCATGTGTCTAGTTCCCATTGGTTCCTTTGCTATATGTGTCATGTGTTCATTGTTTGGTTTGTCATGTGACTCCCTGTAGTTTGATATAAGTAGCCCTCATGTTATTACAACTCGCCTTCAGTGGACTAACCTTTACAAGACATCTCAAGGAGATGGAAAGATCTCATCCTAGATTGAATTTGGTGTAGGTAAGATTTACTTTGAAACAATTATCATTATATAGGTATTTGGGCAGCAGAAGAGGAATACTGTTGTACAGAAAATACCAGCAAACAAGTACAACCCCAATTCTGGAAGAGTTGGGACGTTTTGTGAAATGCCATAAAAGTCAAGAATATGTGATTTGTTCATTCTCTTTAACCTTTATTTAATTGACTAAACTACAAAGAAAAAAAATCCAATATTTTCACTGGCCAACTTAATTTTATTTTGTAAATATAAACAAATTTTGATTTTGATGGCTGCAACACATTCCAAACAAGTTGGGACAAAGGCATGTTTAACACTGTGTCACATCAACTTTCCTTTTAATTACAATGTTTAATTGTTTGGGAATTGAGAATACCAATTGTTAAAGTTTTGCAAGCAAAATGTTTGTCTAATCTCACTTGATACAAGACTTCAGATGCTCAGCAGTCTCTGATCGTCGTTGTCTGATTCTCCTTTTTATGACTGGTCATACATTTTCAATAGGAGACAGATCTGGACTGATCTAGCACATTCACTCTGATCTACGTGTCTACAAAACCACGCTGTTGTAGCACATGCAGAAAGAGACCTGGCATTGTCTTGATCTAATAACCATGGACTTCCCATGAACAACGTGATCTTGATGGCAGTACATGTCTCTGTACAATTTCAATATATGCCTCCATTAGGGTGACCATACGTGCCATTTTTCCCAGACGCGTCCTTGCCAGGATTTGTTTTGGCTTTGTTTTCATGCTTGCTGAAGGTAATGATCGAAAAGTAGTTTGACCAATAACATGCAGGCATTGTACATAATGGACCAATCATGGTGTGTGTGAGAAGGTGGGATTTACGGTCAAAGCGATGCAGTTACGCATACATAGGATGTGTGTTCGACTTAAAAGCAGCGCGGCTCAGATCGATCAGTGTTTGACATCAAAGTACCTCGAGAGCATTTTGAAAGCATAAGGAACCATCTGTATGGTATTTTGATGTCATACACCAATGTACACACGCAAACAAAGCCAAAACCTAGATATTTTAGGCAATATAGAAATCCTGGCCAGGACGCGTCTGGGAAAAATGGCACATATGGTCACCCTACCGCCATGTCAATGGTACCTTTGCACATATTCCAGTCACCCATGCCGTTTGCTCTGCTGCACCCCCATACCATGACAGACATTTGCTTTTGCATGTCGTTAGTGAAAGTCTGGATGGTCCCTTTGGTCTTTGGGACTGAGAACTCAACGTCCATTTTTCCCAGAAACAAGTTGAAATGTGGACTCATCTGACCACAGCACACATTTTTTTTGACTATCTGAGATAAGCTCTGGCCCAGAGAACCCTGCTGCATCACTGCATAGAATCGATGTATAGTTTTCTCCTAGAGTAACAGAGATTCAAGTTGCATTTATTGAAGCAGCAGCAGACTGTGTTAAGTGACAGTGGTTTACTAAATTACTCCTGAGCACATGTGGCTATATTTAACATCGCAGCATGACGGTTTCTTATGCAATGCCATCTGAGGGCTCAAAGGTCATGCACATTCAGCTGAGGTTCCTGCCTTGCCCTACACAGACTGAGATTTCTCTGGATTCTCTGAATCTTTTCACAATATTATGTATGGTAGTTGGTGAAAGACCTAAATTCTTTGCAATTTTGCATTGAGAAATTCTCTCATGAAATTTGGTACAAAGTGATGAGCCATGATCCAGCTTTGCTTGCAAAGAGTGAGATGCTCCTTTTATACCAAAACATGATACCCTCACCTATTACCAATTCACCTGCTTACTGTGAACTGTTTCAAAACAGTTTCACTTGGATATTCTATAACCTTTTCACTTTTATTTTGCCTCTGTCCCAACTTTTTTGGAGTTGCAGCCATCAAAATCAACATTTGTTTATATTTACAAAATGTATTTAAGTTGGTCAGTGAAAACTTTGGAAATCTTATCGTTGTACATTTGTCAGGTAAATAAAAGTTAAAGCGCATTAACAAATCACAGATTCTCGATTTTATTGCATTTTACAAAATGTCCCAATTCTTCTGGAACTGGGGTTGTAAAACACTGAATTAAACATGACATTTTAAAGTAGAAAAATAGTATTTTTTTTTGTTGTAAAACACTACAATAATTTTTTTTTTTTTTTGAAATTTGAAAAAAAATTTGAAAAATCATTTTTTACAGTGTACTGTATATGGAGTATATATATACTCCATTGGACAGTGGAGGGCCTTGAGAACCACTGCTTTATTAATTGTTTTAATAATTAAAAATAAATAGAACATATAACATTTAGTTTGCCTTCTGAAGTTGATAATCAACATTTTCTAAGATGCTACCTTTATACAAGAACACAGAACTGATCTGGGTGCTCTCTAAGTGATTGTTGTTAATCTGTAAAGACATTCCAGTAGCGAATAATGCACAGTTCACTTCTACTCAGAATCATTGTGTATTTTCTACGTTAGTGCTGTACGAACTACTTATAAAGCAATTTTATTCACACCTACCCTCATTGTTTTCATCCTGGTCCATTTGTGTGTCTGAAAGCCGAAGGTCCTTAAAAGTACAAATTCACAGGAGCACTTCAACTTTCCCTCATTGGTCTCTGTGTCTCTGTCCCAACACTGGGTTTGAGATGATTGACAGCAGCAGCTGCGCAGTGAATGCAGGTCAGCCAGTGAAAGGGAGGGCGCCAGATCCAAGATTAAAAAGATACTCTCTCTCGAACACAAGAGATGATCTGGACTCGGTTCTGGAAGCAGGAATTTAGATGTTGTTTGGCTGAGATCACAATAACACTTCAATCAAACGCGATGAGCAGCTGAACTCCTCTGACCTTTAAAGTCAAACACTCAGTTGAGGCTCTGCGCCAGGAGTTTTACTATAGTGTTATATAACAGGAGCAATAAACCATCTAACTGATGTCTATGGCTCTTTGTTGTTCTCCCTTCAGGTCAGCTTTATGACTTCAAAGCCCCTCATTCTCAAAGATGATATTTTAAGACCACAACATATTTCTGATACTTTTGCTGATACTTTTACAAAGCTGCTCATTTTAAAACTTTATTTACAGAAACTAGGCGTGGTAATATATGAAAAAAATTATAATTCAAAAGTTAAAAAATTTGGGATCAGTATCATTTTGAATGTTTTGTAAAGACATTTCTTTGATCAAAAATAACTTGTGAAATATTATTACAATTGAAAAGAACAGTACAGAATCGGGTAGAATTGCTACAAGTTTAAAATATACTTTAATACATAATTCATTCCTGTGATACAAAGCTGAATTTTCAGCATCATTAACTCTAATCTTCAGTGTCATGATCCTTCAAAAATCATTCTAATATGCTGTTTTGTTATCAGTGTTGGAAACAGTTGTGGTGCTTAATATTTTTTGTATATAACCTGCGATACTTTTTCAGGATTCTTTGATGAACAGAGTGTTAAGAACAGCATTTATTTAAAATAGAAATCTTTTGTAACATTATACACTACCGTTTAAAAGTTTGAGGTCAGTCATTTTTTTTGTTTTTATACATGCTTACACAGTTTTTGAAACTATGGCTCCATTTCTACACAAACTCTACACACACAAAACCACAAAACACACACACATCATGCAAAATGTCACACACACAGTATCTTGCAAAAGCAAACACGTCTTTTAAAACTATTTTAAAACTTGTATTTTTGCGTAGAAACTCTACACACAAACATAAAATAATTAGCCACATACACACCAAACTACACAGATATGAAAAATGTAAAACACTACTCTTGTGTGTGTCTTTTGCTTGTTCAGAGTGCAATGGAGTGCACAAGAGTTTGTCATAGCACTCGCATACATGCACATACACTGTATATACAGTATGTATGTACAACTGATGTTTTACACGCACATAGTATATAATCATATATACACTGTAAACAGAAATGCAAGGTGGTAAAAACAATTTATTTTCTCCAAACTCCAAACACTGAGTTTTGATTTCTAAGTGAACAAATAATGTATTTTCACACATAATCACTGGCTGTAGGTCATGAGTAAACGATCAGGGCATTTCAACGGCACTGTTTCCCAAATGAAACAAAAGAGCTGTTAGCTTTGAACGAGGTGTGTAATGTAGAGAACTGTGTTTGTTTTACAATAGCAAACTGAGTTTAAAGCACGTAATGTGCTTGTAGTTTTGCAGACTTGGTCTAAAGATTAGGTTTATGAGTGAATGGTTTCACTAGAGTGGGCCTCAAGTACCACTTTTAGAGTCTAAGCAGTTTTAAAAAACTGTAATACTTTTATTCAGCATGGTTGTGTTAAATAATAAAATGATAAAAAAAAAACAACGAAAGTAAAGACTAATATTGTTAGGAAAGATTTCTATTTTGAATAAATGCTGTTCTTTTCAACGTTTTATTCACCAAAGAATGCTAAAAATATGTATCACAGGTCCCCCCCCACCCCCCCCAAAAAAAAACCCTTTTAAGCAGCACAACTTGTTTCCAA